TGTTAACCAGTTTGATGGAAGTGTTTCGGATTGTGTGTGAAAACCCCACACTGTACCCCAGAAGTGCATTAATGTACATAGTTATCATTCAATTAAAAAAAAAAGCAGGAGAGCACATACATCGTTGCTTGGCAGTCTCCACACCTGTGGTGTAAATAGCCACAGGATCACTTCTATAAAGAGCCTTGGGAAAGTTAGTTGAGGCTCCTCCTACTAAAACCGACTGTGGCACCTTCGAGGTGCTCCAGTGCCTCTGACCTGAGACTAAGAGCTCCCGGGCACCCATGGAGAGCGATACCCAGAGCGAACATGTATAGTGGCCCATTTCCTGGCAGTTTCATGGGGTGGGACCAGTGGCCTGTGTCCCAGCTCCAACAGAAAAGATATTAAATATTTAGCATTCTACCAATAGCCGTTCTAAAACTCCTAGCTATCATTGCTAAGTGATGACAACACTGTCTTATTGGGCTGAAATAAGACTTCAGAACTTTTCTCATGAAAGCAACAATTACCAATATATTGTCTTGGCATACACTAAGGTAGTTTGCCATTCTTAATCTGAACAAATAAAGCTCTAGCTGAGGAATTTCAAGAAACTACCAGACAATAACATCTGTTAAATGCCAGAAAGGGATCCCCTATTTCCCCACAGTCTTATCCCATAAATTCATAAACTCTGCGACAACACCCTTTGGGCGCCATGTGAACTTGGATACCTTCTTCTAGTCCAGTGAGATAAGTAAACTTTTTAATTTTTTATATAGGTGTTTACCATGCTATCTGCCCTTGGAGTCAAGTGATCTCTAGCAGAAAATACTCATTAGTATATTCGCATTCCCATCTTTGTGAAACTATCATTCAATTCCTTGTTCTTTTTCAGAATAAGCTCCTTTTCCAGCAATTACATTAGATTTAAGCAACAATATTCCTACAAACTTTGAAAAGAAGTCATTTTTCTGATGTGCAGTGAAATTTATGAGTTAAAACAATAAATGAAGCTCTTCCTAACTGGGCTTAGGAAAGTCATCCTCAAAATAGCATGACTTGACCTTGGCCTAAGAAAATAACATGTTGCCTTTCCCTCCATCAAAACATACAGCTAAGAATGTGCAAAAGTGATTTTCAATGGCAGCATTAAGGAGGAAATCATAAAGGACACTTAAGACACAAAGGGCATATGGCAAAGAAAGAAGGCCATTTCTGTGAATTCAACACATATTTGTTGAGCATCATTTTTGTGCCAGCACTGTGCTGGGAGCTAGGGATGCATAGTCTAGTTGAAAGTGCATCAGTGTCAGTGCAGCCGCCTTCTCTCTTTGACACTGCCCAGCACTTACTTAGAAAACAGAAAATCTTCATACCATCTCTCTTGAGTTCACAGTTGCAATTACTGTGAACTCAAACAGCACCTGGTCCATAGGGGAATATAGCCAGGACAGAATCACACATTCTGTGAAAATATAAGTGTCAGCAACATCAATCAGGGGCAGGGCTGGAACTGAGTGAACCACCCCAGCTTCCATTAACCACCCAAGGTTGTCAGATTTCAGCTCCCCCTGCCAGATGATGGCAGAGTGTGGAGGCCTGGCCGAGGTGATATAGATCTCCCCGTGACTCAGGCAGGTGCAAAGCCCTGGAGTATCTGCTCATTGGCGGGAACTGGGACACAGCCCTGCAGGGTTACCAGTGACTGGGTGTGACAGAGGTATAAGGTGGGGAAGAAGGCATCAACCTTCCCACACTAATTCATTTGCTGGGGGGAGTCCTTCTGACTCCATGGAGCACCAGAATGAATCATGCATAAGCTGCCAGCAGACCCCTGCTATCTAGTTGCCAGAGACTTATGAACTCTGCCACTTGAGACTGGGTGCTGACTGGGACAATTGATTTGGATCTCTTGGACTGGACCAATCACCCAAGGACTATCCAAAGTGTACCCTGGGTGTGTGGTTGTGGGAAGGTTTGACTTT